CGCGCGCTCTCGCCGCCCCGCCCTCGTCTCTTCGCCTGCGCCTCTGCCGCGGAGGCTCTGCTGGCTCTACCCTGCGGTGCCCTTCACCGAGCCGCATCTCTTCCGCCCCGCGTGTTCCTCGTCTCCCCGGTAGCTCCCATCTGTACTGTCTTACGTGTCCTCTCCCTGCTGCTCACTGCCCGCCGTCGTTGGAGAGCGGACTCCCGCTGCAGGGCTGTCCTAGTCCCGGCCGGTGCCCAGAGCCTCGCTGAGCGCTCCTAGTGCGATTCACCGAGCAGGTGAATGCTTTATCGTCGCTAAAGGTAATTTCTAAACTAAGGCGCAGTAAAATTTTAAAAAGAACAGGATACATCTGTTGTATATATGAAGTTATTCTAAAAACCTATTGTTCCAGGACCGTTCAGCGCAGGAAAGAACAGTCTTTTCAACAGACGCCGGGTTTGGACCCGTGTCTCACGTCAGATATGAACATTAACTTGGAATAGATCAAAAACCTGAACGTAAGACTTAAAGCTATTCGAAGAAGACATGGGTGTAAATCTGTGACAGATGTGGATTTGGGAATAGTTTCTTAGGTATAATATCAAAAGCACCAGCAATGAAAGAAAAAATAGATAAGTTGGACTTCATCAAAATTAAAAACTTTTCTGGTTAAAAGACACCAACAAGAAAGTGAAAAGACGACCCATAGAATAGGAGAGAAGTTTGCAAATCATATCTGGTAAGGGTCTACCTAGAATATATAAAGAATACTTGTTACTCAAAAGTAAGAAGATGGCCCACTTTAAAAAAGGAAAAAGAATTTGAATAGACGTTTTTCCAAAGAATACATACAGCCAATAGGCACATGAAAAGATACTCAACATCATTAATCAGTAAGGAAATGCAAATGAAAACCACAATGAGGTACCACTTCACACCTACTGAGATAGTTGTAATTTTTTAGAAACAGGAAACAATGACTGTTGACGAGATAACAGAATAGCTGGAACCCTCATACGCTGTGTGTGGGAATGAAGAAGCACGGTGCTGCGTGGAAAACAGCTTGGCAGTTCCTCAAGAAGTTAAACCGAGAATTTCTACATAACCCAGCAAGTTCACTCCCAGGTATATATCCAAGAGAAATGAAAACACATTCATACAGAAGCTTGTATGTGAAAGTTCTTAGCAGCAGCATTCATATTAACCAAAAAGTGGAAACAACCCGAGTATTCACCACAGATGAATAGGCAAACAAAATGTGCTCTCTCCATAGAGTGGAATATTAGAAGCTGGTTACAAAAGACCACATATTGTGTGATTACATTTATTTGAAATGTCTGGAATAGGTAAATCTATACAGGCAGAGAGTGTATTAGTGGTTGTCAGGGGCTGGTGGGGAGGGGAACTAGGACTGGCTGCTAATAGCCATGGTGGATTCCTTTTTGAGGTGATGGAAATGATTTGGAATTAGACAGTGATCATGGTTGCACAACACAGTATTCAAAAGACCGCTGACCATACACTTTAAAATGGTGATTTTTATGTATGTTTCCATTTAAAATATATTTTAAAAGTCAATGCAGAATATTGTTTAGGAGGGTCCCATTTGTGTAACAAAGAAAACTACACGTGTGTGTGTGTGTGTGTGTGCATGTATGTGCTTAGAAAATATCCAGAAAGGGCCTGCCTGGTGGCGCACTGGAGAGTGCGCTGCTTGGGAGTGTGGCGGCGCTACCGCCGAGGGTTCGGATCCCATGTGGAGACCGGTTCCCACTCACTGGCTGAGCGCGGTGTGGGCGTGACACCGAGGGTTGCGGTCCCGTTACCGATCAGTAAAAAAGACAAAAAAGGAAAAAAAAAAAAAGAAAGAAAATATCCAGAAAGATGATCAAGAGGCTGCTGTGCCCGCTGCTGCTGGAGTGGGTGGGAGCAGACCGTGACTCCCACTTCACTGCCTTTGTCGCTATTTGGTTCTGTTTTAAACCACAAGCAAGTCTTTTTAAAATAATTTTATGATTAAAAAATTGATTTTGTTCACTGTGGAAAACATGGTGGTTCTTCAAAAGTTAGACATAGAATTATGATATGATCCAGCAATCCCACCTCTGAGTATATACCCAAAGAAACTGAAAGTAGTGACTGGAAGAGAGATCTGCTCACCAGTGTTCACAGCAGCACTATTCACAATGGCCAGGAGGTGGAAGCAGCCCAAGTGTCCATCACAGATGCATGATAAATACAACGTGGTCTAGACACACAGTGGAGAATTATTTAGCTTTAGAAAGGAAGGAAATTCTGACACATTGTGGGGAACTGTGTGTTCTCATGATGACCCCCTGAGTTGCAGAGCCAAAAGGACAGA